TTGAGAAAGAGAGTAGAAGAGTTTATAGCAAAAATCAACAAGGAATGGAGGCATGAGAAGCTTAAGGCTTTAAATTTAGTTTATTAATTTGATCAAACAAAAACAAAGTTTGAATTCTAACAGTTTGTAATGGTAATAATGAATATGGACATACAAGTTTTTACCTGTGTTGTAACTTTGTAACATTAATTTTTCAAGGTAAAAAAATGATTGGGTTAATTAACTTGCATGAATTTCGTAGTACAACATTACTTGAAAAAACTAATCTTCTCAATTAAACATAACTACTACTACTACTAGTTCGTTACCTGTATAATTAGCCAAAAACGTCCCTTTGTTTTCTGCATTTTAAAACTCCGTCGTTTCGTAACCATGCCATCTAAATTAACCACATTTGCCTTCTCCTACCAAAATTGATCATCATTGTAGTTTTGCTATATTCTGATTGATCATGAAAATTCCCGAGGCAATGATGGATCCYGAAACAACCGATATCTTTGCAGAAGATTCATCAATTGACGAATTCGACATCGATTTCGAATTCGACGCACCTAAATTCTACGATTTCTTCAAACCAGAACTTGATTCAGAAACAGAGGAAACAGAGCTTTGGTTTGAATCAGCAGGAAACTATCCTCCTTCGCGTAAGATCAACATATTTTAATAATCTTGCATATTTGTTGTAACAATTTTTGGTTTCCTCAATAAAAGTTTATAATGCATTTGTCTCAGCTTTTAGCCTAAATTCGAGCCCGCGATACAAAGACAAACATCTCAAGATCTCCAAACCAATCTCCGATAATTACAACGGTATGTATCCATTCCTCTGTTTGTTATTTGCTCTGTTTTCTTGCAACTCAGGACTTTTGTTATTTTGTTATCAGGATTCATACATTATAACCAAGCTTATAAATATGTTCCCAAGACGACTCAAAACTCTAAAACCAAACCAATTTTACGAAAGAACTCAACTTTAACGCGACCGACCGCTTCTTTATTAGCAAGACAGAACAAACCTCTTGACATTTACTCTGTTCAACTTCTCTCAAGGTAATATAACATATCTCCTTCTTGATGAGTCTTTCTAATTTTTTTATTCAAATGATTTGAATGTTTTTGTAGATGTCAGAGATCATTAGGGAAGTTTGATGACAAGATCTCTTCTCTCTTATTCTCTATGCCTCAAACACAAGATACCAAAAGGCAAAAACTCGCAACCGGCTTCTTGCGCAAGGTCTTAAACTCACTGCTTTCTCATCTTTAAACCCTTTTTTTATGTTTTGGGGACTAATCCTTTTTGTTTTGTGAAGTAGATGTCGCGGTTGGACCAAACATATTTTGTACATAAGGTTCCAAAGATGGTAATGCACTTTGAAATCTTAAACATTCATTGTATCATCCTCTTGTATCTTATATTAGTATTTGTTTTGTTTATAGGGATCTAAGGTCACTGTCCCAAAGGAACCTAACCTCAAGACTGCTCAAAGAGCTGCAAGACATCGGTAAGAAATCTCTGAATTTGTTTTGGTTCCTTAAATGCATGTTTACTAATTACTACTTCTCTTATATGAATTTCTTTCAGGTTCAAGGCTAATTCAGCACCCGAGCAGATAGTGAAATTCAGCTCTACTATGAATAAAACAGTGAGTGCATACTTCTTTTGTGATTCTTTCACAGCCACCAACTCAGAAGCAGTAACAGACTCAAATCTTTGTTTGTGTTCGAAAGCATTTTCAGGTTCAAGAAAGTTCTTCAACAAATCTGCCTAAAAAGAGTACGTCTCGCTCTCAAGATATCCAGGTCTAAAATCTTCTAAAAGGACATTTTGAAACTCTTTATCATACCAAAAATTTTACTGGCATTTATATTCTTTTTCGGTCTCTAGGCTTTTCATCTAAGAACATCTCTTGGAGCGAAGGAACGCGCTTCAAATGTAAAGTCTCAAACTTGATACACAAACTCTTTTTGATGGTTTTGGATCTTTCATCTCTTTACATACAATTATGCTTCTCTCATTGCAGGCTAAAATCGCACCCGCCGATGATGATCGTACACCCTCCATAACGTTAGTCCTTTTGTCCTTATCTTGCATTGACTCAAAACTATAATAATCAAGACTTCTCAAATGTTCTTTTCACGTATTGTGCAGGTCAAAGCCCGTTGGTTTGAGAAAGGGTAGTAAAGTCAAAGAATCTCGCAGCTCGAAGACAGTTTGTCAAGTTTACAAATCCGAGATTAGCCCTCTAGACTCAAAGGTGATGCAGGTTTACTTCCTCCACTATATCTAGAAGATCTATGAAAGTCTTTGATTAACATAAAAAGAAAAACTCAAGAATCTTCCCTTTCTTGATGATATATAGACATCAAGTAAATGCGGTGAAGCATTCGAAATCAAACATGAAAACAATTTTCCGAGGGTAAGTCACTCATACTTCAGGTTGGTTCTTGAAAATGTAAATCATGTATCATGTAATATTTCTATATGGAAAACCATTTATTACTAATACCGTGTTTTTAGTTCATCGAAGGAATTTGAAGCTCCAAAGGACACAAATTTTCGAGATGAACTCATTATTGAATCTCTCAGAAAAGTAAGTGTTCATTGTCTTCAAATTGTATCTAATTTGCCTTTTGTTACGAATATTAACAATGTTACCATTTCTTACAGCTATGTCTCACTTCTGATACTGATTCAGCCGCAGTACTTTTAGATTAGTTCGCTTGTATCTCATCTACATAGAGTTTTCTCAAGACATATATCGTACATGTACAAAGACATGGCTATGAAGGAATCAGAGAGCTTCGACGGGAAAAAGATCGAGAGATTGGATTTATGCTGGAGGACATTCACCAAGAAGTACCCCAATGCTCCTAAGATTCATCATATGCACTTACATAGATGATTAGAAGTTTCATAAATGTGCAATGCTTGTGTTTGGCCGTCATTGAACAATGTACAGAATAATATACATAGTGTGATAGAAACATGCATTAATGGTTGTGTAAGCAAATAAAGAGTGGAGATTGAAAGACTTTAAACGAACTCGTGAAGATGTTTTTAGAAACCAACAATTTAACTTCACCTACTCTTTTCACCTATACCATGTTCTTGTCTTTAATGCCTTAAATTATCTCTCCTTTCCCAAAATGCCCCTCATACTAGCCCAAATCACATAAAAACCTTCCCCTTCGATCTTTCCTTGCCGCATAAGAAACCCCAAAATGAAAAGAAATAGTAAATAGAGGGAGCCCTAAAAGGTCAGTAACTTATAAGCTACTTTTGGAGATAACTTCACGGAACTGAACAACCCACTGTGGAGTTGTTTTATCTGAAGAGTGGCTCTCACGCGGCGGTTCGTCTTCTCCCTGCAGTTTGACCGGAGAAGGCAATTTCTTTGGAGGTGTAGATGAAAATGGGAGAAGAGAGAGCAGAACCCTAGAGACCTCTTGCATTGTTGGTCTCTCCAAAGGGTTTCGCTTGGTGCACAAGAGAGCAAGCTGAAATGTCTTCTTGATGTGCCCTGAGTCCACACACGTCACAGAGACCTCTCCATCAACAGCTTCCATCACCGTGTTATCATCCGTCTTCGACAAAATCTGCAACAGAAACCAAATGATTACTCATTTCGTCCGAGAAGAAGTTTATGACACAATCCTCGATTCCATGTGAGAATTAATACCATTTGATGCAAGTTGGCTTCGTTATCCACAGCTTTCTTCCCGGTCAGAAGCTCAAGAAGGACTATTCCAAAGCTGTAGATATCAGACTTCTCGTTCAGACGCGAAGTACGAGCATACTCTGGGTCGATATAGCCGATAGTACCAAGAACATACGTTGATGCATAAGTTTTGGTTGCTGGTATGCTCTTGGCAATCCCAAAATCTGACAAACGTGCTTCAAAATTCCCATCAAGTAGTATGTTCGATGACTTGATATCCCGATGGATGATCCTAGGAGTGCAGTCATGGTGAAGATATGCAAGTCCTTGAGCCGCACCAACCGCTATCTTCAGCCTTGTTTCCCAGTCAAGCTTCACTTTCTTTCCAGATCCTACATCGTATAATCACTACTTTTTAAGTCCTCCAAAACTAGAAAACAAATTTGAAAAGTACGTAATTAAACGAAGAGAAGAAGAATGGCTAACCATGGAGAAGGTCCCAGAGAGAGCCATTTTCCATGTAGTCGTAGAAGAGGAGGTTGCCAAAGGGAGACAAGGCATATCCGTGCAAGCTCACAATGTTTCTGTGTCTGATGCTTCCAATGGTCTCGAGCTCTGTCTCAAACTCGCGCAAGTTGTGGGGATGTTGATTGTAGATTCGCTTAATGGCAATAGGTCGGGAACTTTTGGATGTACACTTGTAGACCGTGCTAGAAGCGCCGTATCCAATAATGTACTTCTCGCTGAGATTCTCTGTCACTCTCATGATATCATCAAACGTGTGAATAGCCATGTCCATGTGAAGAATCACCAGCTTCGTTGAACCTGAAAGTTCCATAGAAAATCTTATCGCAGCGAACTTTAATGAACAAAAGAAAAGAGATAAACTACGAGACCAATATGGCAATATACCTTCAGAGTGTTTTGAAGAACTTTTCAAGACTTGCTTCTGCTGCTTTGCCTTGTAAACAGCAATGACTATCATGCATATGAGAGTAATGAAACCAAGAACCATACAAATCACAGAGGTTCTGGTGAACACTGTCAAGAGCAAAAAAATTAAAGCTTTAAGAAAACTGTCAGTTAAAGACAATGCAATGGATAAATGTTGTTACAGATACCTCGTGGCTTGGGCAAAGAAGGGCCGCAGATCGATCCAACCCAGTTTCCGCAGAGAAATGGATTTCCAAAGAAGCTATAAACAAAATGATAGGTTAGGTTAACTGATCATTTTAACAGGGTAATAAAAGTGGAAGTACTGCAAAGTTCATTAAACCTGGCCGGGGCATAACGTGAGAAATTCTTCATAGGTGGGATTATGCCAGATAGATTGTTGAAGGAGATGTTCCTATGATGCATATAGAGAGAACATGAATAAAGGATTTTATTACAGAAATGATCATAACACTATCTGAGAGTACAGATTTGTATCAAAAGAGCACTTACAGATTGACAAGACTAAAGCAATTCGTTAGCTGATCTGGAATTTTACCATGAATCTTGTTGTTGTTCAGTATTCTGTACAAAAACAAAATATATACATGATTTCTATCTTTTAGATGGTTCTATCCGGAGGAGAAGTGATGGTTTACTTACAGAGAGTTTATGTTCTGCAACTGGCCAAGTTCAGTTGGAATAACACCGGCGAGAAAGTTGAATGACACATCGCTGAGAACGAAGTAGAAAAGTTCGTAAAGAGGATTTTTAGCATAAAGGAATGAAAAATTGAGCATAGAGAAAAACTTTACATGATCTGAATGCTTCGGAGATTCCCAAACTCTGCAGGTAACGACCCATTTAGATGATTTCTGCTCAAGTTTCTGAAAATTAAAGCGAATCACAAGTCAACAAACCCCGGAAGAAATGATTTGAAAGCATTGCATGCAGCTTCAGTGGTTAAAGAAGACCTACAAGATGAGAAGATGTTCAAGATCACCAAGTGTTAATGGTATTGACCCGGAGAAATTGTTCCCAGACAGATCCCTGAAAACCAAAGTTTGTATGAGTTTGTCCACATATTAATAGGTATAAGGCATGATGTAAAGCAGCAGAAAATAACATACAGTGTATCAAGATTGATAATATGGCCAAGCTCAGCAGGTACTTTGCCCTTGAAACTGTTTGAGGAAAGATTCCTGCATTTTACAGCATTGAATTAAGATTGGCAAAGACTAACTAACAATACCAGGGACCGTACTGTTTACGTGATCTTTGAAGCTTACAGATAAGTCAAGCTTCCAAGATTCCGAAATTCAAGTGGTATAGATCCACTCAGGAAGTTTCCATGCACATTGCTGCACACAAGAAAAGCACAATAAATTCTCACAAAGATAAGAAGCAAAAAATAAGAGATAAGCTTTATATTGGTAAAGGGTTTATCTCATAACTTACAATTGATTCAAGGCAATACAGGAACTAATGTTAGATGGAATGGGACCTACAAGATGGTTATTAGCGAGGTTCCTATACAGCAGGAATATACATCAATCAGTTTACACAATAGGATATTAAAAAACAAAGGTTTAAGCAAATAAGTGAAACACTAGATGTTAAGAACTCACAGTTCAAACAATTGATCCAGCTTCCCAAGCTCAGGTGGGATGGTTCCCATTAGCTCGTTATCATTAAGTTGCCTGCGAAACGGTAAACCCAAATCCGATAAGCACAAGTTTAGTTTAGGAAAGGTAATGGAGTCTGAAACTAAACTCACAAATAGCTGAGTCGTGACATATTGCCAAGCTCAGGTGGGATTGGTCCTGTGAGCTTATTGCCATGGAGATACCTATTTCCAAGAAAAAAAGCATTAATGTGTAGAGATCAGAACATGTGCATGACACATAGTGAGAAGAGAGCAAGAGACTCACAGTTTTCCGGTAAATGAAAGATTGCCAAGTATTGGTGGGATAGGCCCAATTAGTTCATTGTCACTCAAATCCCTAAGCATTGGATAAGAATTTTTACATTAGGTTAGAAGAGCAAATAACTACACTAACAACAAAAACAAGAGTTTCAATATGAACAGAACTTACAAAACAGCAAGGGCTTGCATCAGACCAATTACTTCCGGAATTCTACCAGTTAACCTGTTTCCTTGAAGTGACCTACAGGAGAGCCCATCAGCACTTTAGCATATGAAATGCTTTAACAGTCAAACAAGAGGTTTAGAGTCTTTAACAAAACTTACAGAGTAGCTACTTGGAGGAAACCGATATTGTAGGGTATGACTCCAGTAAGCTGATTATAAGATACATCCCTGAAAATGCGAACAACAAAATAATCCCACCTGAGTTCTGTGCTAAATGCTAAATACTCAGAATGCTTTTGTAAGGAGAAGACACATACAGGATCTCAAAGCTGGTGCAATTGCCAATGCTATCCGGAATAGTTCCAGTAAGGTTATTGCCTCTCACATCGCTAGCAACAACAAAACATTTACTTGCTCGAAATCACGAGGGGTTAAATGAGCAATGTAAAACACGAAAAAGGGCAGAGAGCCGGATTCACTTACAAGTACCATAAACCCGTAAGCTGACACATATCAGGAGACAATGTCCCAGTCAACATATTCCCACGTAAACCGCTGCAAATAAAATGCACCACCATCAGAAACTAAATCTCCAATTGCCTACTTGCCTTAACGACTTAAGATAAGTAGAGTAACTTACAGATACTGTAAAACCTCATTCCAGTAAAGTAACCTCGGTATCTCACCAGTTAGCAGGTTTCTAGCAAGGTCACTGCAGAATCATATGCAAAGAAACCATTATCATTGAAATGGTCACTTTGTTTATAAATTCTTGATTCATCAATCGATGACATCATTATGAAACTCACAGGGTCTGAAGGTTTGGAATCTGAGTTAAGGTTGCTGGTATAGGGCCTGTGATCTGATTATTCTTCAGGTTCCTGCATTAGCCAAAGGATGACACAGTTAACAGAAAAACCAAAACAGGCATAGGGAACATACGAAAGCTAAAGAAGAGACCACATACAGAAACTCCAGCTGTTTGAGTTTAGAGATTGAAAACGGTATGTCTCCAAACAAGAGATTGGTGGAGAAATCCCTGAGCAAGAAGAAAGATTTCGATTAAATAATAATGAAGATCAATAACTTGAGACCACAAACATTCAACAAGAACTTACACATAAGCAAGAGAAGCACAGTTTCCAATCTCATCTGGAATCTGACCACCCAATTTATTACCTTGCAAGTCTCTGCAAAAAGACATCATCGTCGTAAAGGA